GATTGTGAGGGCTGATACGCCTTGTTATCAGCAGACATCCGGTTCCGCTTGTGGCTGAGTGCGGGCCTCTTGGAAGCGGACTGCTCTTGTTGCTCACGAGCTAGCTTTTGCCGCATTGTCTCTTGATACTCTTGCTCCTCTGATGCGTAGTCATAACTGGAGTCTCTGCCATTTGTTGTTGTATTGGCAGCTGAGATATCCGCTGGCTCGGTTGAGCGGGGACGCATGTAAAAGGAAGTTGCGGACAGGGCGCGCTTAGAAACGTCGACGACCTGCTCAAAGGGACTCTTCCCGCGAGCACTGCGGTCACGTTCTTGGGACTCTTGATTGTCTTCGCCTTCGGAGTCGGACACATGGGTCATATTGGAGTCCTGCTTTGAGAGAGTCTTGCGCATATTGCGCTGTGAAAGACGATTCGAAGGTGCTGCTAGTCGGCGACTGCTGGTAGAGTGGGTCTCTTTCTCATAGTCGACGGATGTGCTTCGAGGTACGTTGAGGTTTGTTTGGGATCCAGAGGCCCATGCGTTATTGGGATTGCTGGAATTCATCTCGAGTAATGTAGAAGCGGCTTGATTGAATGCGCTTGCAATGTTAACAGAAGTGTCCTTTACGCTCCACGTCTCGGGAGCGAGCGCTGGTTGGGACTGCTGAAGTGACCGCTCGCGCTTTAGGCGGGCGTAGCGAACGAGAGCTGTCTCGTCGTCTGCTGCGTCAGCCGTGGATGCAGATGATGTGGGTTTATTCGGTGATTTGGAGCCTGCTGTTGGGGCTCTGGCGTATGTGAATATATGATGAGGGTACTGTTATAAGATGTGATATGATAGTGCTTACCCGTACGCGTACGAGGTTGTTGTTATTGAACGCGGTGGACTTGGGGGAGGATTGACGGGTCTAGCAGATGGATTATTGTGAACTTTAGCAAGATTTGTCTTGTTGAGGAATGTGTGGTGATCTAGACGTCTGCCTTGACCGAGAGGTGTGCCCGCGAATGACATATGTAAGCCCGTGCGAGGCTGCTTCGAGGCGTGTTAACCTTGATTAAGAGCACGCTCCAAACACGTTTCCACAGTGCGGTTAAGCGTAACTCGGTTGGCGTGTTGCGATTAGTGCCAACCTAGTAATTGAAATGAGTTTGGGTGCAGGTAAAAAATCTGCAACTTTTATCAGTTAGCACGTTAAAAACGAGGATGATGAAGATGTTGTTTCAAGAGCGTTCCGTGGCGGCATTAAACATAAAACGCGACCGAAGCGTGCTCCTCAAATCACACTTGTTTACTCTTCTTTGTACACTATCCATTCCCTATATAGTACAATGACTTTGCTTGTCCCACTGGCAAAGCGTCGCGACGTAGACAAAAGCTCGAAATCTGGCCGTATTCACAATGGAACAGTTATATGACAACCGTTGTTGGCTGACGGTCCGACCACTGGAACCAGTTACCACAACTCATTGTTTGACTTTCAGCTGGGCATTTATTTGTTCTTGTGATGTGAAGCTCGTGCACGCTCAAACAGCCTTTTTTGCTTTGTTAAGGAAGAGTCACCCTGCATGTTTACAGCAAGGAAGGCTGGTCATCACCACGTTCTCGAAGCACTGCGACGTAAACAACAGGGCCAATGCTATCCGCGGCGGCGACAAAGCGTGGTACTTGCCTTCCAAATGGGCAGTACCGTCGTTGCGAGACCATTGGAACTCGTTGGTAAGTAGAACGTAGCTTGTCATAGGACATACATGTGCCAAAGTGGGACGTGTTTCTTGCGACGGCTGAACACGCGCGGACGGTCTTCTTTTGTTGAGTAGTCTATACTAAGCAAGGAATGCCCTCTGGTCCGTCATAACATCCCTCGCACGTAGTAGACCCATAGCTAACAAACACCGTCTACACAACGCCTTCTCTCACTGCAAGACAAAGCCAGGATTTCATTTCACAATCATACTTTCACCCAAAAAAGACACTCGTAATACCTCTGATCGCCACTGCCGCATCTACCGCATCATCAACACCACCCTATTAGGTGTCAAATTCAATCTGAACCCCATGCCAGAGTAGCGATACGAACATAAAGCGATCAATGGTCCTCGAGAAGGTACGATCACGGGAAGGGTGCTCGTCGCAAAGCTGCCCACTATTGGCCACATGCGAAACGCATACATGGCATCATTGCACAAATGCCACTCGTCCAGAATAATGCGCAGTAGAATTTCCGAGCCTGTAGGATCCATGCACTTACTGTACTGCGAGCCCAGGGGAGCGACTCCGACATGATGCCGGAGGTCACGGATGGAGGTCAGGCGGATGGCGAATTAAAAAGCACTCGACGACATGGCCAAGGATCGTGTTTTGAGAAGCGACATAACTGTATCAGCAATGCACATACCGACATGAGAGTTGGTCGAAAACGAGGTGTCCCAGGTATGTATTGAAGATTATTTCTGTCTGTACCTATAACATGGATACCAAAAAAAAGATCACTCGTTCTCTGCACAGTCCCAACAAGTGTTAATCATGCCAAGCATTTCCCGTCATACACGCACTCCTTGAAAACCATTGAAGTCATGCCGGTTGCTACATCTGAGTCGGTCACAAGCCTAGCGTGATACTCTCGAATGCCAAGGATCAGGCGCGGTCCCAGCACAAACTTCCCCGCCAGTGAGCAAATTTGAAGAAAACCAATATAAATGTGACATTTCGTGGAATATAGTTCCTATAGGATGGTGAATCGTGCACATACGCAGAGTTCAGTGAAAGATTGGCATACCACTGGGGTTTTCGGGGACAGATAAGCAAGGTTGAAGCAAGAAATGGGAATAAAGCTAGTATCGGCAAAACTTCAGCAGTCAAGAGAATCACATTCACATCATGAGCTCACCTCGCAAAGTAAAGCACATGAGTTTTAATCAACACCGTGAAACAGTCCTCGATAAAAACCCCTGCTGATGAGCGCCGTAATTCACGGAAGTGTATCGTAGCGATCCAGACTGCGAAACACAGTGTGACAACCTCCCATACAGTGGCCAGTACCCAAGTGATGGAATACAAGAGTACACTGTCTCCTACAAAGCTAACGTTGCACTGATACATGCCTGAGAGAACGACTACCTCTGGTACTTGTCAATGAGCCTGGTGCACCTGTATTTCGCCTGCAATCAAACTTACCGCCTGAGACATTCTTCATTATTATTCCCGTGAGCACTCCGTTGGCGACGTTGACAATCAGGAAGATGACAACAAGAAATGTCAGCACGTTTCTGGATCGCTGATACATGGCATGTAAACGAGCAATCATCATGACTTGTGTAATGTTTTCAGTCAATTCAATACCACGGAACAGCGCAGCTTACTGCCCAGTATAGCATTTGTGATGACACACATCCAATCTAGTGCGAGGTACCAACCAGGGCCTAATAAATTCAGTAACGTTATGGAAGATCGTACGCCCGAATAAAAACTCACAGCTATGGCAATCATTACGTTGAACTAAGAATTCGGTCAAGAAGCTCACTCACCCCTACATGGGAGTGCAGATGATTGGTCAGGAATGCAGGCATAGAAACAGAATACTCACTGCAGCTGTCGCTGGAATAAACACTGTATGTTGCCGGTCAGAAGAAATAAAAACAGTGTGTGCAAAGAGACATACGCAATACTCTGATGCTGATCATGAGAGATGACAGATTAGCGCAACACTGATTGCTTAACCTTCCCAACATACACGGAATATATTAGTCCAACATAGCGCACCTAGGATCCTTTCAAGTCAATACAACTTGCCCGCCACACTGATAACACAAACTACATACACTTATATACGATGCCGTCATGAGGGACCAAGGTCTATTCTGCCGCGAATGATTAGTTGCATTTTCACGTCATGTTATTGGTGCTCACCCAGATCAATTCCACCTATGAAAGCATTCTCAATCAGATGGCTGCTTCAGTAATATCATCGACCCACCTCTTGACCGAATGTAAGTGCTGGAAATGCCGTGAGGGTATCAGTGCCTTTCATGCTCAGTCGTGCTCACCCCAATCATACATCAACCCAACAGCGGAGGCGACTACAAAACCGCAGCCAAAGTTAGATTGACACATCACCATCATTAGACTCGTTCTCCACGAACCTGCAAAGTAGCTGTCGACACGACTCGTCTTGATGAACGGTCCTAAAAAGATAATATTTGAGATCAAGGTCATGGTAGTGGAGGATGAGCAAACTGGAGTGAAGACTTGGTAAACGTATCGTTTATACCGGATATAATACCGTTATCCGGCGCTGGGCCGCCGAAGTGAGATTGAGAAATGATTGTCCCAGTCTTGATTTGGTGAGGTAAGTGTTTCAGGATGAAAGTGAATATACAGTCCGACATCCAGCATTATGCCAGTGGCCTGACGCGACGCCACACTGGACATCCTAGCGCCTTCGGGAATTCTGAAATCTTTGTTTAGTCGTGAAACAGCTAGAAGCGTGCCTAGATAGGTGTGGCTAACGTTATAAAACAATATACTTATGTCTGAACCCGGGCCGAGCATGATGAATTGGTGTGATTAAATAATATTCGAGTCTCACCAGTTTAGATGTCAACAAGGATGGAGGTATTGAGTCTGGTTGGGGACAAACATAGAGTGGTTGACTCGAGCCGCGTTGCGGCAGACAGGTTTTAGTTGATTACTCTCAGCGCCATACATATGGTACTCTCGTCCTCCGATCTGTTCAAACCTGAGTACTGAGTGATCTTACGTGTACCTTCTCGCACTCGTCTGTCTCAGTGAGCATCGGGCTAAGAGGAGTTGAAATCAGATCCGAAGACAGCCGTCACGAATATGAAATTATGATCATGGCAAGGGGACGAGGTTTTGGGGTCACAAAACAGCTCCGTCTGCCAGGCCTCTCGCCAAATTGTCACCCTGCTGCCACCGTCTCGTACTGCCCGGGCCCCTAAGCAATGCACTACGGCCCACACGTGAGCGTCGATTTACCAAGCTAAGTGACACGAAATACACGTATCTCTCTGTGATGCAGCTGGTAAGCTCCATCATAATATACCTTCTTTTAGACCCATGCCTCGCAAGAAGCATCGTCAATATATCGCACTCTACTATTGCAAAGTCGGGATTTCACTTCGCTCTCACCCAAGGAAGAAACTTGCAATACGTCCATCCAGGACTGCTACAACTACCACGCTGTCAGAATGGTCTTCGAGAAGGTATGGTAATAGGAAGGGTGCTCATCGCAAAGCTACCCGTACGCGAACCGTTGGTCGTGCAGGCAGAGCGTATACATGATACCTCTTGCACAAGTACCGCTCGTGCAGTATGATGCGCAATGGGACTGCCCAGTATAGATGATCGAAGCATAAGCTGCGTTGCGAGGCAAAAGGGTGACTTCAGCACAATCCTGGAGTTCACAAATGAATGGATGGCAATATACAACGCACCGGTTCGAGGCATTTAGCCCTTCCCAGCTTTTACGCACGACTCTCTGTGGCAAGTGAACGGTCGACTGCTTGCATTGTGAATCTACAACTGGAAACCGCGTATAGGATAAAAAGTAAAGAAAATCATTCAGGTTTGCTTAGCTTAGCCCAACCCTCTAAACTTGTAAATTTAGATAGAAAAGCATCGGGATCTGGCTCCTGGGTGTTGGACTGTTGGCCTTCTCCTGAGCTCAACGACCGTTTAAGGCGAAGATAGTAATAGTATCGCTCGTCGGCATCTCTTTTAAGCACCAAAAAACAGTCCACCAGGAAATCCCATGTGACTCCGTCTATGTCCGATTCGGAGGGTGCGGAAGCTGTCAGACGGCCCTGAAAAACATACTTCTTCTTGCCACATGCCACAGCGCCTAAAGTCGCCCATTCATCCAAGGGGCGCAATCTCCGTGGTAGAAGAACTCCACTTTTGTAACGCAAGGAAATCCAGGCGAAGCACCACATGAACGACTCCACATCATGACGATATAGGTGTTTGACTTCACCTCGTTGACCCTCTTCGATGAGAAGATCGAGCGCCATGGCCGGCACCGTGCCCGTGCGCTCGTTCCCGCGAGGACCTGAGTCATCCGCCAACGAGGATAGATCGTAGTCGTTCAAAACGCCTATCTGCTTGCCGTCTTTCCAGTACCACATCAGATTTCCAGGGCTGACATCTCGATGATAGACCCCTTCCTTCCAAAGAGTAAGGTGGCCTGCATGCTATGTCGACAAGGAGACACATAAATTCGATGAAACACGTACATGAGATACACTGATGCCAGACATCAAAAAGCTCTTTTCCCTGAAGCTTCGTGATAGGGAGGAGCTTGCTGAATACAAGAATATAGAGCACGCGGCCTCCCGTAGTGGGTCCAGGAACGCCGAGCGCTTCTTGAACGGCGGATGTGAGATTCGTGAACTGATGGTGCCAGAGCAGCTGGGGAATAGGGTATTTGACAGTATCATGCGCCTCAGCAATCTCTTTAACCTTCTTCAAGATGTCCGGCTCGCTGGTGCGACTCGCCTCTCCCCAAAAAATCTTGACCACCATCCCATCCTGGAAGATACCGTATTTCTTCGTGAGCGTTTTGCTGGTGATAGGAACCACATTGGTGGCCCGTCCTTGCAGACCGTAGTGCGTCACTCTTTCATCGTGACTGGTGTGAAGCAGCAGATCCACCTCTCCAAGTTTTTCATCCTTGATTTTGAATTCATGGCATCGCTTCCCCTCAACCTGAACTGGGAGGAATTCTTTGTCTCGGCCCCAATTGTGAAGATCGAATCGTTGTAGAGCATACAAAGGCACCATGGGCTTGCCTTATATCTGGTCGACCAGTGTGGTGCAAATGTGGTGAACCATTCGTCAATCTGATGTGTCATATGGGCTGATGTGACCTACAGTTCGACTCCGACGACGCGTTCCAACACGCGCGCTGGCACGTGACCCTGACTTATTTGATTTCAATCAACGGTTGTAGTAAGTAGCAAGACTCGGATTCATCTATACTGTATAGTACCTTGTCAATTCGTCAGAAGTAAGATAAATAGCACCGCGTCAGATAGTTTATGTTTTCATGGTGAGGTGACTCCGCTGTCTACCACATAAATTTTGTTCTGCGCTCGTTCTGCACTCAATCAATCATGATACTCCGAGTCACTCCGAGCCCCTCAGGAGTTCTTCTAGGATTTTGATTTTGATATTTATTCTCAGAATAGAAGGGATTCCAAAGTTCGTGCCATGGACCATGGTTCACAGAAAGAAGACAGATGTGGCACAACTTAGTTGAAACACCGTCTATACGTCGCACTCCATCATTGCAACTCAGAGCTAGACTCGTGACCAGCCCGTCTAATGAGGCAAGCCGTCGATAGACGGACTGGTAAAACTGAGTTTTAATTTGGATCAAGAGCGGATTGTTAGAGTAACGTGACCTGTGGCCAATGAGAAAACCATTTTTTTTTTTTCAAAAACAAAATAAACGAGATAATTTTCATCCATTGCCATGACGCGACACGTCTTCCTGCTGCAAAATTGATGGATCATCACACACTCATCCAAGGAATCCACAATGCATCCCTCGACATGCTGTATGTGTTCGCGCATGATCTTCCCAAAGAACGGCTTCCTATCGACTGCATCCAGACTCTCAATAATAACGACAGAGCGGATGCATTACGAGTTTGCTTAATTATGTATGTGCTCACTAGCGACGACCATCGTTCCACGTCAGTTTCAGCTCGAATCAGTTCTCACAACTTTATGCGGCCATCACGGAGAATTTTGACAGCAGACTTGATGCATTTGTGCGAAGAGAGTCGTGGGGAAGGGGCTGCAGCAATAAGAGACATATGGTGGATCACCCGTTGTGATATCGACGAAACCAGAGTCCACGGAACGATTGAAGTCGGCATCCAGAGTCCTCGAAGAACCTCGCATCCTGATTTCAAGCTCTGACTGGAGTTATAGGACAAAGAGCAAGTGATAGCAGTAGCAGAAAGTAATAGATATACACACTAAGGGGTGGACGGATGAAGAGCTGGCAACTGAGCGTACTCGAACGTCGACGTCAATCACAAATGACAATGTACTACAACAAGACTTAGCAACGAGTTAACAAAAGCTCACGTGGTTCTGATATTCCTAAACAGGCTTATTCGTCACGTTACTCTAACAATCCGCTCTTGATCCAAATTAAAACTCAGTTTTACCAGTCCGTCTATCGACGGCTTGCCTCATTAGACGGGCTGGTCACCAGTCTAACTCAGAGCCATGATTTGGATGCAAGATACATCGTACTTGTTCGAGATATTGACTCCCTCCCAGCATTCACCCACGACTCTATGGGAAATGAACAGTCGACCACTTGTATTGTGAATCTACAACTGAAAGTTACGAGTATCGATACGCAGAGAACCGAATATTGGGTATGTACAAGTAAAAAAAATCACTCAAGCTTGCCGAGCTTAGTCCAACCCTCTAAACTTGTAAATCTAGATAGAAAAGCATCGGGATCTGGGTCATGGGTGTTGGACTGCTGGCCTTCTCCTGAGCTCGACGACCGTTTGAGGCGAAGATAGTATCGCTCGTCGGCATCTCTTTTAAGCACCAAAAAACAGTCCACCAGGAAATCCCATGTGACTCCGTCGATGTCCGATTGAGAGGGTGCGGAAGCTGTCATATTATTGAGAAAGAACAATTTTTCCCTGCCGCATGTCACGGCGCCTAAAGTTGCCCACTCGTCCAATGGGCGCAATCTCGGTGGTAGAATGACTCCATTTTTGTAACGCAAGGAAATCCAGGCGAAGCACCACATGAACGACTCCACATCATGACGATATACGTGTTTGACTTCACCTCGTTGACCCTCTTTGGTGAGAAGATCGAGGGCCATGAACGGCACTGTGCCCGTGCGTTCGTTGCCCCGAGGACCTGGGTCATCCGCCAATGAGGATAGATCGTAGTCGTTTAGAACGCCTATCCGCTTGCCGTCTTTCCAGTACCACATTAAATTTCCAGGGCTGACATCTCGATGATAGACCCCTTTCTTCCAAAGAGTAAGGTGGCCTGCACGCTATGTCAATGAAAGTCACGTAAATTCAAATGAAACACGTACATAAAATGCATTGACCCCATACGTCAAAAAGCTCTTTGCCCTGAAGCCGAGTGATGGGGAAGAGCTTGCGGAACACAAGAATGTAGAGCACGCGACTGCCCTTAGTGGGTTCCGGAACGTCAAGCGCTTCTCGAATTGCGGACGTGGGATTCGTGAACGTGTGGTGCCAAAGCAGCGCAGGAACGTGGTCTTGAACGGTTGTGTGCATCTTAGCAATCTCCGCGACCTTTTTCAGGATCTCCGGCTCGCTAGTGCGACTCGCCTCTCCCCAAAAGATCTTGGCCACCATCCCATCCTCGAATTTGCCGTATTTCTTCGTAAGCGCTTCGCTGGTGACAGGGACCACATTGGTCGCCCGCCCTTGCAGTCCGTAGTGCGTCCATCTTTCGTCGTGACTGGTGTGAAGCAGCAAATCCACCTCTCCAAGTTTTTGATCCTTGATTTTGAACTCGTGGCATAGTTTCTCCTCGACTTCGACCTGGAGGAGGTCCTTGTTTCGGCCCCAATCGTGAAGCTCGAAGCGTTGTAAAGCATACAACAACACCATGAATCGCGGGAGATCTTGAATGAAGTTGATGCCTGAGCATTGAATGATCCCTTGTCGATCATAATACCAGATCCACGCGACATCGTCTGAAAAAAGCTTTAATAAGAGCGCAGCCAATCTCAACAGACGAACAAACTCACCGATGACAATAATATTGAGCAGATAGTTGACTGCAAGATTCGCTGCAAACATTTCGGCGGCGTACAGACCCGTCTGAACGGTGACATCTAGATCTGCGTCCGCGTCAGCGTCTCTGTCGTTGGGGTCCATCTTAGGTTTTTTCGCGGTTGATTCCAAAGTGTCTGCGGCCTTGCGCTTGGAACTGGACCCGCCCTGGGAAGGCTGGTCAGCAGTAAGGCCGGAAGATCGAACTGCAGCTTGGCCGATTCAGTTTGATCCTAGAATCGCAGATATCACCACTTACATGCACTGTCGGACGCAGTTTGTGTTGCTGGGGTCTGAGGAGGGGCTGGAGCTGAGTCTGCAGTCCTAAGATGATCGACTGGCAGATATTCTGGCTTGGTAGGGGCATAGTCTGTCAATGTATACGAAGAGGGGGGCGCCTTAATCCCTTTCGTCTTTCTCTTGAACTCGATGCAAGCTAGAACATCTTTCCACGGGAGATTTCGCGGCTTTGCCGTTGCATTCGTATCCATATGAGCCTTGCGCTTCTTCTTGCGCTGCTCGCTGTCGTTCCTGTCGCTCGTTTCTTGGTTCTTTTCGTCCTTTTCAACATCCTTTTTGTCGTCCTTTTGTTTACCTTTCTGTTTTTCCTTCTTGCTGCCCTTCTCATCCTGGAATGAAGCGCATGCGCTATTCAAAGGAAGAATCACGAGGTCAGGCTTCCGAATTGATGTCGCGGTCTGGTGGTTTTGGCGCATGGGCATGTCGTTCTGCTGGCAGATCATGTCCACGGCGGGGACAGGAGCACGCATCCCGTCGATCTTGATCTCTTCAAGACAAGCGAGAGCAATGTTAGTGGCTCTTACGAAAGGGCCGTAGAAGCTGTTTTCTACTCCTGGACATACACTTGCAATTATTCTGAGCATCAGAACGTCTGATCAGCGAACTTAACAACGAGCACTCACTATTCGCTGAGGGCTGTCTCGATGTCAGAAGACTTTACCAATGCAGTGGAGGCCTGTCCATTGCAAACCGGCAGAACTGCCTTGAAGCACTTTTGCAGAAGCTCGGGCTGTTCGGTCTCGGGAGCGGAAGAAGCGCGCTGCAGGAGGGCTTGCAGCATGGCATCTGCCTTGCACTCCTTGACCTGCTCGATATCCCGTTGAATCCATGGGCGGACCTTCTCGACCCTTGATGGAATGTCAGGTTCTACTCAATAAAGACAGGAAATGTGCGCACTTGACACCGAGCATGCCGATGTTCTCGCTGACGACGGAAGCCCCACGGCTGTTTGGGGTGGATTCTATTTTGCTAGCACCTGAAGCTGATGCATTGGCGCGTGGAGGAGTAGACAAAGTGCCAGTCTCGCCTGCAGGGGACATGGCACTAGACGTTCAGTGTCAATGATTACGATGATTGAATGTTACGAGCAGAATTGATGAGGGGGAAGAATGCAGAAGACAACAGAAACGACTGCCTGCCTTATATCTGGTCGACCAGTGTGGCGCAAATGTTGTGGACCATTGATGAATCTGATGCGTCACGGATATGGATTCATGACTCTGGCCTACAGTTCGACTCCGACAACGCGTTCCCATCAGCACGCGCACGTGACCCTAACTTATTTGAATAAAATTTGATTTCTGAAAGTCAAACCCGGTGAGTCTAGTACTGATATTCACCTATACTCTAGTGTGTATTCGCCAGGAATAAGATCATAACAGTGCGCCAGCTAGTTCAACCTTTTCACGGTGAGATGCACTCTACTTTCTACTACATCAATGATCATACATCTCGTTCTCGGTACCCCGGGCCAATCAATGATACTTGCTCCGAATCCCTGAAAAGTTCTTCTAAGAATCTTGATTTTTAGATTCATGTTCTCAGAGTAGAACGGAGTCCGATGCTCGCGCCATGGTCCACAAAAAGAAGACAGATGGACGACCCAGCCGCAGTTCTCTCCTAGTATTCTGTTGTCCTCCTACAGATGCCGGCCACATTTACGCACTTACTACAAGAAGTCTGCTGTAACTTCTGTCTTTTTCTCCATCCGACAATGCCGTAGAGGATAGTGCTTAACCAAATATATTCCTCCATCAATTTACCCGGCTGGGTCCGAGTCGATCGTCCATTGTTCAGCGTAGCACCTTATAGTATCACCGTGTTCGGACATCAGGCTGTCGAAAACTTTCAGTGCTTCTTGATTTCCTTGAGCGCAATTTTCGAATCTTGCATGATCTTGGTAACGATGGAAAATAAAAATGTATGATTATTTTGCCGTTGTTGAGTCAGAGGGCGTAATAGATGTCATTGTAGCAAGCCAATTAGAGTTGTTGCCTCCTCCACCGCAGTTGTGTTCGGCTCCTCTTAGTCGCAGTGGCCAATACACCCACGGGAGCGAAAATGCGACCTATCTGATCTATGTACATGCTGATTTGCGACCAAGCACAAGAATGTACCGTATCCAGTGCCCAACCCAATCGCCGAAACATGGTCTATATGTGAGATGTCGAAGACAGCGAGTTGTAAAATAAGGTGAGAACGTCTTCACAAGTGAAATTATACCACTCTCACTGGACAAAAACAGAACTTGCCGCCTCAGGCTCCCAAACGAGATCCTATGTGCAGCACAGCAGAGGACTCGGGAACGCTAGCACGGGAAATACAGCGTATGTGGGGGATGATCGTGGATTGATGGCAGTAGAATGCATGATCAAGATTCGGAGGAGTTAGAGTCGCCTGTGAGTATGGGAATTCGGGGCGGTCGATGGGTTCGCATGAGGCCTTGAGGTTGCTACAGATAGGCTTTGGAGCCACGGTCTTGGGCCGACGTCGATGTTCATAACTTCTCCTCGCCACATACTTTGGCACTTGCAGTACCCTAAAAATCAAGGAGACAAGACCCCGCCGATCAGAGAACGTCATCTTTGTAACACAGATAAATCCACACAAGTACCCAGATGAACAACTCGAGATCATGACAATATAGGTGCTCGACTTCGCATCCTATGTGATGAGATGATCAAGCGCTCGCTGCAGTTGGCAGACTAGAATCGCATAAGATGCCCATCAGGGTGTCCAATCCTTTAATCTGTAATACAGTGTGTTTTCAAGGATCACATTATCTCGACGACTGACCGCTGTATTTAGTAAGAGATCATGGTGACCTGCAGCGTGATCCTTTAACAGCGAATCATATGGACGCGATGAGCTACAAACATGAAGTGGATCGGCTCTGCACATACGTTGAAAAGGTCTTCACCATGCAGCGCCTTAATGGGTCGAAACTCACGGAATATGAGGATGTAGAGCAGGCGACTACCCTTGGTGTGTTTCTAGAATCCAGGGCATTTGGTGGTCTCTCAGTGTTTCGCGATCTTGAAAACCTTTTTTGATATGTCCGGCTTGCGAGCGCGTCTCTGCTGCTCGATGTAGGGGATTCATGAACCACGATGGACACGTATTTATTAAGGTCTTCGCAAACATGCCACGGGCAGAAACCTCGGGGTTGAAGGAGATGACTTGCTGAAACGTGAATCATTGAGTGAGGGGCGGCCCAGGACGCTGTGAACCAAAATCTTTGTTTGATCAAGGCACAACTTACGGGATTCCACGACTTGCAAGTGAGTTCAGCAAGCGTGTCTATTTGCTGTCCTTCCCGACTATCCCGACCTGTAAGGATAAAGTGCATATTAACTGTATTTGCTCTGTCCTAGTAGCGCACTGCACTCGTCATCTACTAAACATGACAGGGTCTTTTCGTTTCATTCTGCGCAATAACGAGTCACTATCATGCATGTATTCAATTGATTTACCTACTGGAGACGGGTCAAACACGGACAATCGACGCAAGTATCAGAGCCAGGAAACCGTAGGTAGTGTAATGGGTAAAGAAAATCACTATGAAGGTTCCGGTAGAAGTTTGCTGAGCTCAGCCCAACTCTCGGTATTCTTGAATGACTGTAGAAAAGCATCAATATCTGAATCTGATTCTTTGCAGTTCGTCGGCGTGTCTGCTGCCCATCGATTGAAGGTGTGCCTGTTGAGCATACCGAGACAATCCACAAGGAACGCCCATAGGGAAGAGTCTATGTAGGAGGGTACGGGAAGTTTCTTCATACGGCCCTGAAAATATAACTTGTCCCTGCCACATGTTGTAGCGCCTAAAGTCGCCCATTCATCCAAAGGGCGCAATCCCCGTGGTAGAAGATCTCCATTCTTGTAACGCAAGGAAATCCAGGCGATGCACCACATAAACGACTCCAGATCATGACGATATAGGTGTTTGACTTCACCTCGTTGACCCTCTTCGGTGAGAAGATCGAGTGCCAGAAACGGCACCGTGCCCGTGCGCTCATTGCCCCGAGGACCTGAGTCATCCGCCAACGAGGATAGATCGTAGTCGTTCAAAACGCCTATCTGCTTGCCATCTTTCCAATACCACATCAGATTTCCAGGGCTGACATCTCGATGGTGAACCCCTTCCTTCCACAGAGTAAGATGGCCTGCATGTGATGTCAACAAAGAGACATGTAAATTCAATGAAACACGTACATGAAATACACTGACGCCAGACGTCAAAAAGCTCCTTGCCATGAAGCTGAGTGATAGGAAGGAGCTTGCGGAATACAAGAATGTAGAGCACGCGACTGCCCGTAGTGGGTTCCGGAACACCGAGCGCTTCTCGGATGGCGGCCGCAGCGGGATTTGTGAACGTGTGGTGCCAAAGCAGCTCAGGAATGTGGTCTTGAACAGTTGCGTGCCTCTTGGCGATCTCCTCAACCTTTTTCAGGATCTCTGGCTCGCTAGTGCGACTCGCCTCTCCCCAAAAGATCTTGGCCACCATCCCATCCTCGAACTTGCCGTATTTCTTCGTGAGCGCTTCGCTGGTGACAGGGACCACATTGGTAGCCCGTCCTTGCAGTCCGTAGTGCGTCACTCTTTCGTCGTGGCTGGTGTGAAGCAGCAGATCCACCTCTCCGAGTTTTTCATCCTTGATTTTAAATTCGTGGCATAGTTTCCCCTCAACTTCAATTGGGAGGAAGTCTTTGTTTCGGCCCCAATCGTGAAGCTCGAAGCGTTGTAAAGTATGCAACAGCACCATAAATCGCGGAAGATCCTGCAGTAGGCAACGACAACTTGAGAAAAATCCGAGACTATGCAGGCAAGCAAGGTCAGATTCGACAACGCCGAACCCTAGTGATCAAAGGCATCATATTTTTCAGTCAATTAGATGTTTGTCGTGGCCTTCCATGGATGCCGTTGTACTGAGCAGCAGTGTATGTGAAAAAGTAGTGATTTGAGTTGTTTTTGACCAATTTTTGACTTTCTCCCCAGTAACTATAGCTAACAAAGACGAGTTTTTGGACAGAACGCTTCTAGGCCACATGTCGAATTTTTATTGTTTGTTAGTAGGAACAAATACTAAGAGCATGTTCGGATAGAAATATTTGCATGAAGTTTTGAAATATTGATCACGCAAATTCGTCGGCATTGTGCCGAAAGTTCGTCGGAGCTTTAATTAAATCAGCAGCTGTTATCAATTGATATTCAAAGGTATATCACATATCATATATCTCCTCGTCATGGATGCTCAAGAAGATCAATTCGAAATGGATCGTCAACGGCTCGCCTTGCTCGTTTCCAATCCTCAACCGGAGGTTCGGGATCGTCTTGTTAAATGTATAGGACTTGTTATCAGTATAGTAGTCGCTGCAACACATGGTACATTGCAGACCATATATCCCAAGGACCGACAACCATATCACACCTCGGCCCTCTCTGGGCAGGACTGGGTTATTGAATTACTAACTGGTCACCCAGAGCGCATCCGCTGTGAACTTGGCATGCATGCCTCTGCCTTTGTGGAGCTTATCACTCAGCTTCGCGCTATGGGCCACTCAGATTCCAAATTCATCTCCCTCGAGGAACAACTCGCTATCTTTCTGTATGCTTCGGTGACCGGCCTATCAGTCAGACATGTCAGGGAGAGATTCCAACACTCAAACGAAACAATATCTAAGTACATTTATTTTTATCTAGGATGCAGTGGATATCTGACTCTAGCGCATAGGTACTTTCGCAAGATCCTCGTTTCTTTCTCCTCCGAACCATTCTATTCAACATACGTCCAGTTTCCTGATGGGTCCGTCCCTCGCGAAGTCCGCAGAAACCCTAAGTGGTGGCCTTTTTTTAAAGGTGCCATTGGTGCAATAGATGGGAGCCATATTCAGGTGACCCCCAGGGCTACTGACCGTGCTGTGTATCGTAATCGGAAGGGGTTCCTATCTCAAAATTGCCTTTTTGCGTGTGATTTCGATCTCAAATTTACCTATGCGCTCACCGGCTGGGAAGGCTCTGCAACGGACGCTCGTGTTTATGAAGATGCGTGTCTGAACGACTTCAAAGTTCCCCCACGCAAGTATTTTCTTGCAGATGCGGGTTATCCACTCCGTCCCGGCTTACTTGTGCCATACCGAGGTGTGCGCTATCACCTAGCTGAATGGGGACGCGCAAACACCAGGTAGGTCCTTTTACTTGAATCAAGCTCAATTTGGAACTCATCTTCCCTACAGGCCTGCTAATAAAGAAGAACTATTTAATTTGCGACACGCATCAGCAAGAAACGTCATCGAGCGCATCTTTGGTGTTTTGAAGCGTCGTTTTCGGATCTTGCTGTTGCCGCCTGCATATGCCATGGAGTTGCAAGCGCGAATTCCCGCCGCATTGTGCGCCGTTCACAACTTCATCCGCGTGCATGATCCCACAAACATCCCCACCAACGAAGCCAACGATGAAGATAACGACGAAGACTAGCAGGGTGGATATTCTAGTGGAAATGCTAAAGAAGACAATATTATGGCTATCAAAGAAGATAACGAACTTGAGTTTCGTCAAGGATCTGCGATGCGTGATCGCATTGCATCTGCGATGTGGAATGACTATCAGCGCATCTTGTTAGAACGTACTTTCGAAGGGATAGATCTTGATGAGGGGGATGAGGACCTCGAGGACACTTTTGATGAGGATGAGGATCAGGACAGTTTTGCTTCGGAATAATTCACACTTCGAGTACCACTTTGTAGCCTCCAAAATCAGACAAACATTGATGCATTGCGACAGTTGTGAACATGTAGTATTGTACATACATTGAAACGAAAGCAAGTGGTAAAGAACAAGGTACATGATATATTTTCAGCCCGCCATTGCATCTGTGATGAGCTTCTCAATAAACGGACGCCTGATTGCTTTGTCCGTGAGGGACACATAGAACTTCAGGAATCTCTCGTTGTTCTTCTCACCAAGGACCATTATCAAGACAGCACGCTGGTCAGCAGGCATGTCAGCATCCTCAGTTTGCAGTAGGTGTGCTGCGCGTGTCACCAAGTCCATGCTGTCCTCAGGCTTAGGCACAGGTGGAGGCGGAGGCGGAGGCGGAAGGGTACCATTATTCATGGAACTAACAATGAATTTTTCAAAGATATCTGTCAGACGGTTGACAGTGCCCTGCAGTCCCATCACGGCAGCAGCAGGCGTGATCTTGGCGGCCTGTGTTGCACTGCTCATCTTGGCCGCATTGGTCATCTTCTGAGAGACGTGCGAACGTGCTTTCTTTGAGGGGGGGGCGGACACCAAGGTGGTGGAGACCGGCTGAGCCGAATCATGGGTCGACGCGAACGAAGTGGTCTCAACAGAATCCACATTGGTGCCCTCATAAGGGCGCTTGGCACCAGCAGAGCTGGTAGCGGTAGAGAGACCACTGGTGTTAGAGCGAGGACCGGTGGTGAATGAAGGGCCGGTGACAGATGAATGATTGGCAGTGGTGGAAGGACTGGCAGAAGAGAGGGCTGGAGCCTGAGCAAGGCCAGGCTCATCCTCATCAGCGTCTGGTACTGGTGGAGGACCCATAACACCTGGGTGGAAGGCATGGCGCCCTCTAGCGCCACCCAAGGGAATTATTTCCTGCATTTTCTCAAAGTAAGGCCAGCCTGTGTTGCGGAATGAACGCATGTGAGAATTGGACTAAAAAATGTTAGCTTTTATTTGAAAAATAAAAGGGGCTGACGTACACTGAGCGCAACATACGAATCCCACACAGCGGACGCTGCAGGGCCATGGATCCCAGCTCCATTGGCACCGTCCCAGTGTGTACCGGTCTGGTTGCGGTATTTATCGATAGTGTGATGAATAGACTTGAGCTGAAATATTGAATCAGTAAAGTGAGTGAAGGACAGAGTTGGATGGACGCACTGATGCCCACTTGCTCTTCACCATCTTGACGGTCTTTGCTGGACCGATCCGCAATGGTTGAAGGTCGGGATCATCGTTGATGACTGTTAGTGCAGAAGTATACACCTGTGGCTTGAAGTTGCCGGAGGTATCACCACTTGCACGGTTATCGTACATATGATTAACAAGTGCGGTGATTTCTTCGTTTCTCCAGTGTGCAGGTGTGCGCCTTGTAGGGATTTCATGGGCCTCAGGTTGAGCCATGATAAGATTGGTATATTGAGTACAGATCGCAGTAATCGCGATGACACCAGCGATCAGTCTATTGCGCTGGTGGATATCAAAGGAGGAGGAGGAGCAAGAGATCTCCATCGATTAGTATGTACAGTAGGAGACAAGGAAGGTTTAAGCTCCGACGAACTTTCGGGACAATGCCGACGAATTTGTGTGATCAATATTTCAAAACTTCATGCAAATATTTCTATCCGAACATGCTCTAGGTCATCGTATTTCTGCCAACCACCCTTGACCTACTGCCGGCAATTGCCACTGGCAGAATGGCAGATGATTCTGCCAACAACACTAGCACCGTGGAATGGAGTCCGACGCTCGCTCCAGCCTGAGGTGACAGATGCCCTAGGCGCCTAGGCCCTAGGCTCGTAACCAGCCTGGCGTATATGGCTACCCCTTTTAGTAGATCCATATTGAATATATCCCTGAGTCTTGGGCGATATCAGACTCGGACGATCAACACATTTGACAAGTTTGAAAAGTACAGTCATTGGTGGTGTTTGTAACACATACATATCAGATCCCTCGTCCACTCCTAGTAATCCCTCACAGGAAACCCTCCTAGGCTCCAGAACCTACCTTCGCTCATATACTCCCCAGTCAATCTCGCAGCCAAAAGGAAGAGCGATCCGTCCAGAGCTTCTGCACCCTCCAGCTCCGTATCCTTGAAGTAACCCTTGGGCCGCGCCATAAAGGGATGAGAAATGCGCAAAGGCGCGCTGAATCTTTGGCAGATGTTCATTTGGGTGCGTTATCACAGACTGAATACGTTCATTTCCAGTATAGCTGCTGCGCTTTGCCCCCTCTTGAACAACACCATTGTTCGAAGGCCACTGAGTCGTTGCAGGAGCTATCGATGCAAGCGAAGAAGAGAAGGAGAAAGAGTTCTTTTACGGAAGATTCGTAGTCTCTTTTACTTTTCAAGTTGCCTTGTTGTTTAGCAGATAGGTTGGGACTGTGAGTCATTTTGTAGAGCACAGGCTATCCGCCGATGAGGTCTACCCAGAGATTAGGCCTGCGCATTGTATGTGATGTATCGACCCTCAAACAAAATGTAACTCAATTTACTTAAGTGAAGGGGTGTACCGTGTTATTGCTAGAGCCTAGCAGTGACATCGTCAGGATTCTGGCTACCTACTCTGCGACTGCATCTAGTAGCACAATGTATTAATCTGAAAGTAACTTCAGCGTGACAAGCAGATACATATTTGAAGACAGCTGATGAATTTCGTATGGATCTAAATACTAGTAAGTAGCTGATAGTAGAATGCCCCAATGTACATAAGAAAGAAAGAAAAAAAGGGAGAGAGAGGTTCGGTTTGGAGCGTTGTTTTGTCATATGCCTCGATAATTAGGGCTGCACACCGTACCGTATACGGTAGACAGCCGTATACATATGGTATAAATACGGTATACAGCTAACCCGTACACCGTACATGACATTGGTGGTGGACGAAGTGGACGGTACGGTACGGTGAATTATACGGACGTATACGGCGGTGTACGGTACATACGGAATGCAAATCAACTATGAACGACCCAAACGAAGCCTCGCCTTCACGAGCATCAATGTCCTGATAGTCT